CACGAGAACCTCAAGAATGAAAATAAAATCCTTTATCGTCTAATTTTCCAAATTGGATACTTTCTTGATCAGGATCTCTGCTGGCCTATTACAGATCGCTGAATATGCGTACATGTGTAGGTAGTTCTAGAAATTTCTCACACAAGGGATTTGGACACAGCTGATATGTTTCCGAACATTTTTTCGCTCTCCACTTCTTCTTTTAGCTACTTGAACGCCAACATTTGTAAGCGTAACGATTGAAGATCAGACATCTATAAGAAATCACCATGTCATGAGGAGGTGAAGAAGGTGTCACCGCGGCTGTTACCCCTTCAGGCGCTTTTTGAGATCAGCTCCCGACAAGCAAACCCTCCTGGGCCACCATAGCCTTCCAAAAACAGATGGATAAGCATACAGTTAGATGCACCTTCAAGCGTTGATCTCAAATTTATTTTCCACATCTGCTGAACGGAGTTATGAAATGAAAAATGGCGACCTGGGATCCTTTCCTTGTGAGAAAGGAAGAACTCGGACGCTCGAGAGATTTTCTGATCCAACATTCTTTTACACGACTGTCTTTGATATTTTCTTCGACTGAGCAAAGTTTGGGTGCAAGTCGATCATATGCGACAGGTTACACCTACCCAGAAGCCCAATCGAGACACCTTCTCCAATAATCGCTAGAAGGGTACCGTCGCAACAGCCCACAGATTGAAGGATGTTTGTTTGAACTAGGGAGATCGAAGGAGGGCAAGTAATTGAGTGGAATCTTTTCGCCGATTAAATGTGTCCGGCTTCATAAAAGTGTTGGCATGCAACCAGCCATTTCCAAGATATGGCCGCCCTCGTTTATACGCCACCCCCTTTAGATTGGTCATTATTTACAGGATCGAGTGTGATGAGGAAACGCATGCAAGGGTTTCTCTAGAGCCGTGGACTGAATAATTTAGTCATGAACGCGTCTGCGTGGCGACGTTTCCAACGACCGCTTGCCTAATGGCTCTCGTCGAGGTGCTATGCGTTTCCGTCAACGAAACCTCGAAGTGTTTTAGCGCTACCTCATAGATCTCTTCACACACGCCTCAGCTCCTCACAACTACACCTGGCTCGGATTGCGGAACTGGCCGTTTATTTAAGAATGGGCAGCTATGCATAATGCGGAACAGCTATGTGCCTATGTATACTATTGAGATGTGACCCCGGGTTGGGATGAAGACAGCTATGTGGATATTATTTTTAGCGCTATCGCAATGTGCGATGACATTACAGGGGCAATAAATTAACAGCGTGAGACAGCACTTTTTTGCTGGAAGCGGGATTAAGCTTCGGGCAGAGGATGAGAGCGATGCGGGTGCGTGAAGCACGCAACTTCCACTCCTGCCATAGTTCCTGTCCCTCCCTAGGCTTACTCCTGGGATGCCCTCGTATTTTTGATAGCGCCTTGTTTTTGGCTTGTTTCAGTTGTTAACTGCTTTTCTTTTTGGTTGCGATTCACTATGCAAAATTTACCATAAGCAGGCTGAGCAGTGGCAAAATTCATCTCCCCCAGACGAGTTTCGCACCTGGATCTCGTTTTCCGGGTAAATGTGCTGCCATTCATACTACCAAGATATCAATGCACCTTGATTCAGCTTTCAATGGAAATTTAACTATAGCCGACAACCGCAGTAACCGCGCAGTTTAAAGCTCTAGCAGTTATTAATTTGGCTAGTGTAAATTATTATTCAGCTTTGTACTTATTTATTTCCTACCAAAAACTAATTCGTAAATTACAGAGAGGATTCCCATCTATATTTATCCTTCTTATTTTACAACTTAGTCTTCATTTACGAATCCCGTTACATTATCCCGATTGGTTTTCTGCGAGAATGATGCCCTCTCTGAATGGGAACAACCCCAGTATTATGGCGAATCCTCCCTGAAAAGAGCTGTGCCCTTGCCGAATGCACTAATAAGTTTTTACCAAGCCATGTTCTTCGTCGCTGCTTGTTTACCCATGCATGTTGTTCATCTGCTGGCACTTCCGCAACATTCTTCCATCTCTTCTTCTTCGGATGATTCGTTGTTGCATTTATTCTTGTGGCTTTGTTTTCTCTACAGGGGCTTTTCCACTATTTCACTTACGTTTATCCCATACTCACATAAATGAACTTAAGAAGTTTCTCTTAGTATTGTGCTGTCCCGGAGCCTCATCAGGACCTAAATTTGTTAAACACAGAGGCTCCAAAAGTTTTATTCCAAAAGAATTCCAAAAGTTCACAAAAGTCCAAATACTCCAAAAACGAGCCAAAAATTTAAAAGAATTCCTTTGGAAACTTCCGCGATATTTCGGTGTATAACACCTTCTTCAGGCCTGAAATACATTGATTATAACTTGTATAATTATTTTTAGTGTCCATATCCCATAGCTTATCCCAATAGCAGCTTCTCCAAGCACCGCACCAAAAAACACGCCTATGGGGAACCCCCCACATTAGTCATTAAAGTATTACACCGCTCCATAGAGAACCCGGTGGAAAGGAAATTATTGGAGGCATTAGAAATAAGAAAACTATCACCCGAAATAAATAGTATGGACGAACTACGTGACGCGAAGGGCGAGAGCAAGTCATTCTGTTCTACTCCATCGGCGCGGCTCCCGTAAGGGTAGCTTCATCCTTGGCAGAGGCAACTCCATGTAAGTACCTACGGGGATTAGGGAAACCACTAAAAATAATTATACAAGTTATAATCAATGTATTTCAGGCCTGAAGAAGGTGTTATACACCGAAATATCGCGGAAGTTTCCAAAGGAATTCTTTTAAATTTTTGGCTCGTTTTTTGGAGTATTTGGACTTTTGTGAACTTTTGGAATTCTTTTGGAATAAAACTTTTGGAGCTTCTCTGTGTTAAACAAATTTAAGAAGTGTCCATTAACCCTCAATAATTTGACGTCCGTTCAATGGCCAAAGCCGGCGATTCTTCTTATTAATACGAACAACCTTGAAGGCAGAATTTACGATGAAAAGTTAGCTCATTGGAAATAAGGGTAGAGGTGGTCAGTGGAGCAGGGATGAAGAAGAAACCATTTGAAACGGCCCGAAACCCGAGAAATGGGACCCCTTCCTTGCCCGTTGATTTGCGCATTGATGCGACTCTCATCGCTGTGCCCTCTTCAACACTACGCTCTCTCTGCTATCTAATCACTCGCCACGTATAGACCTGCGGTGATTAGATAGTCGGTGGGCGTACCCGCCAACCGCGCCAAGAGTGAGCCATGCTAGATCGCCGAGGTCAAATCTTTCGCTGCCAATTGCGCGTCGGTCAGCACCCTCAGGAGGTCCGCCTGTCTCCCAACTATGCAATTTTCCCCTTCTTTGA